GTCTAAAAAAAAAATGCATGTTGTTGTTTTTTTAAATTTTATATAACAGAAGTAGTCCAGTGTGAGCCGTTCCAGGGTGAGTTCAGAGATTAAATCATTTCTTCAGCCAGGTTTTTTTTCTAAATTTTGCTTGCCATTCTCAGCTAGCAGTCGGCTTGGTAAGCCATTCTCAGCTAGCAACTGAGGCACGTATCATATCCCTCACGTACAAATGTCCAGAGGCAGAAAACGAAATCACCTCTTTTCTTGTGCCAGTCTTGAAGACGGAAGAAATCTCTTCCAGTACCCCTGCAGAAGGCTTCCCTTTAAATCTCATTGACCAGAACTCATCACATGTCCCATTTAAACCACTCCCTGGCTAGGGGTGAGGTGGGACGACTATGTTCTATATAGACCAGCTCTGCCTACAGGGAAGACAAGGAAAGTTCTGTTAGATGGAAGGTCAATAATGTCTCCTGCTCAAACGAGCACACCCTGATCCTCTGCTGTGTGTTGGTGCAACATCCCTTGAGGGTATTAATATAACCGATTTATAGATGAGGAAATCAAAACTGGGCAAAGTGTGGTAGCTTTCTTAAAATAATATTCTCAGTAAGTGATGAAGCTAGGATTTCAATTCAGAACTGTCTGACTCGGATTGTGTACTCCCACCCCAATACCACACTGTTGCCTATACATCATGATTTGCTTTCAGTTTCAGTTACAGAGCTGCTCTTTTTGGATGAAGCAATCAGTGCATCTCTATGTTTTGCTTTTCACTTTAGATTTACTCCCCTCAGAGCTTCTCAGGGCTTCCTCAGAGCTGTCGACTCTCAGAGACTCACATAACCCCTGAGAAGAACAGGAAAAACTCTACTTGCTGATTTGATATTTCTAATGGCAAATTGCTATTCTAATTTTACATGTTTGTGGGATATAACTGCTTTAATTTGAATTTAATCTGTCAACATTCAAGCAATCTCTCTACCAAAGAAATTTCCTTTTCAAATCCCCCAAAACTAGTAAGGGCATGTTCATTTCTCCTTTTCTTAGTTTACAGCTTCCTTTTACCCTCAGACCAGCTTCATATAAAGTCAATCCCAAATCCTTCTTTTAAGCATTCTGCACATCAACTCTTCCTTTCCACTTTTAGCATATCAGCATCGTTATCAACATTATATCTGGAATATCCTCATCTCTTAGTTTTCCATTCTCACATACTTTAAAATTATCCTGCCACTCAAACAAATTATTTTCCTTAAAAATGACTTATTTTATCATTTCACTCTCCTGTTCAAATACTTTGAGTACATTCTACATGTAAAAAAAATGAAGTATTAAATACATGAATACATAAAAACCAGGCAGTCTTGTCCTCTATGTTTCCTCCATGTGTAAGGAATTATTCTTACCTTGCTGGCTGAAGCTTGATGTCTTTTCCCAAGTCATAATAATGTAACCCATGTCACTATGGGACAGGCACTCTTTTAAGTACTTGATATATATCAACAATTTAAACCTCACAACACCCCTGTGAGGTAGGCACTATTATTATTATTCTGATCTTACACATGAGGACACTAGAGTGCAGAGGGATAAATGTACCTGCCAAGAACATATAGAAACGAAATGGCGGAGCTTGGATTCAGACTCCAGTGGTTGGGCCCCAGAGGCCATGAACTCAGTCACATTTTACTTCTATAATCCATGTATTTCACTGAGAGTTATTTATTGAAGAGGTATATGTTGAACATCTATTCCTCACCCCAAGCTATATCCTTCTCCTGATGTTTTTATAGAGAAATTATACAACCATGAGTCTCCTCCATATGATGAAAAGCAAGCGTTATGTAAATTTTAGGCAAAATCAAGGCAGCCTTTATCTTTGCAAACTCTGAGTGACATTTGTTGGATTCTGTATTCTCTCTCATGTTCTGAGCTCTTGGATATTTTTTCCCCCTATTTCAGCAATAACCTCTGGTCTGGCAGGGGCTGACTTTTTTTTCTGAATGACGCCCCTCTACCCTGTCTTGCTTTCCTCATGAAAGAAGCAGTTCCAGTTTCTGGGCCGGTGGTACTACTGCTGCCAACCACATCACCTCTCTGTCTATGATGCCTACTGAGGCTCAGTGACTTAGAGCTAGATTAGCACGCCACACAGCACTCTGCATCTCAAATCTCCGAGTTCAAGATCTGTCATCTAGTCTCTTGTTTAAAATCATCTTTCAGGGGTGCCTGGGTGGCTCAGATGGTTGGGCGTCTGCCTTTGGCTCAGGTTATGATCCCAACTTCCTGGGATCAAGTCCCACATCGGGCTCCTGGCTCAGCGGGGAGCCTGCTTCTCCCTCTCCCTCTGCCTCTCCCCCTCCCTCTGCCTCTCCCCCCGCTCATGCTCTCTCTCTCTCTCTCTGTATCTCTGTGTCTCGAATGAATAAATAAAATCTTTAAAAAATAATAATAAAATCATCTTTCAGTGTCTTTTGTTCTTGTCTTCTCTCATGATTGACTTCTCAAGACTCTTCTGAGGTCATTTTATTTTTATTTATTTTTATTTTTTTAAAGATGTTATTTATTTATTTGTCAGAGAGAGACAGCGAGAGAGGGAACACAAGCAGGGGGAGTGGAGAGGGAGGAGCAGGCTTCCACAGAGCAGGGAGCCCGATGCGGGGCTCGATTCCAGGACCCTGGGATAATGACCTGAGCAGAAGGCAGACGCTTAACGACTGAGCCACCCAGGCGCCCCACTGAGGTATTTTTATAAGTTCCACATAAAAAAATCCTACACTTTACTGTCATTGTATGGGCAAAATATCACAGGCTATGTTTTATGATCATGTGTTAGTAATTTTAGGAATCTAGCTCCTTAAAAGAAAAGGGGGGAAAAAAAGAAAAATGTGTATCTATTTATCTAATTCAATATCTTTTTGATAGTAATTCAAATTTGATAATACTATACTAATACTAACTAATAATTATTAGAATTTATTGTACACTTTTTCTGTCATTCATTTCTAATATTTACATGTATTAATTCAATTGATGTCCATGGGAACTCTTGGTAGAGGTGATATTGTTTTTTGCAAATGAGAAAATTAAAGCCCAATGCGGTTATGTAACTTGTTCGATGTCACAGGAAGTTTGGTACCACAGCCAGGCTTCATAATCACTGTGCTACTCCCATGACATTTTCAGATTCTTGGCTAGATATAGAACTGCTTGAAGAATATAAGGGCAAACATTCTGAACTGATATGCCCAGGAAATAGGTTAAATTTGTGACTTCTCTATCTTTACATATGGGATATGGCCCAAGAGTTCACAGAATATAGTTCATGGCTTTCTATAAGAATTCTTATCATTTCAGGTTTTGGTTTAAGTCACACCACAGCCTATGAGAATTTCTAGAAGTGTATTTGTGATTCAACATCTAAAATTTAGAAATATTTCATCATTGAAACAGTAAGTTATGAAAGCAAACTCCTTTGTACAGTTTGTCACTCTCTTAAGAACATAATCTCAAGAACAAAGAAATACTGAACCATTTGAATGGGAAAGGTGTAAATTGTACAAAGGAGCATTTTGGCTGGAAAGAAAGTTGAATTTGCTATACTGATTATTGATTTTTTTAATTGTCATGGTGCATTCGTTGTCTTCAGAGTTCAGCTATACAGGCACAAATTTTACACATAATGTAGAAGTTAAGTGAGCATGAGTCAGTGATCATTGAGATACTGAAAATCTAAACATTCAGGTCATCTGAATATTTATGGTTTACTTTTTCATATATACATAGGTAGACTGTCATTTAAACAACATAGCCTTCCAGGGCGCCTGGGTGGCTCAGTTGGTTAAGCGACTGCCTTCGGCTCAGGTCATGATCCTGGAGTCCCGGGATCGAGTCCCACATCGGGCTCCCTGCTCGGCAGGGAGCCTGCTTCTCCCTCTGACCCTCCCCCCTCTCATGTGCTCTCTCTCTCATTCTCTCTGTCTCAAATAAATAAATAAAATCTTTAAAAAAAAATAAATAAACAACATAGCCTTCTGAATGAGGTATAATGGGCAAAGAGTAGATTTTTTTTCAAGTAATTTCTAGAAAAAGACATCAAACTAGTTAGAATTATGTTGAGAAAGTAAGGTAAATATTTAAAGTAGAAAATACCAGTCCTAAAATGATAAATGTATTGATTACAACCATAAAATAGAAGAGAAGCTAAGAAGACATCACACTGTCATTACTTTTGTTTTTTGTTGTTGTTGTTGTTCAATCTGCTCATTTGCTATATTTTGCTGTATTTTTTTGGCTGATCTATTTTAGTTTTGAGCTGATGATAGCCAGTGATAAAACTGAGTTGAGATTCTTACAAAATGTGAATAATTTTTCAATAAAATAGTATCATAAACTTAACGTTGCATTTATTGATTTATGTTTTACTTCAGTATAGAGGCAATAAATAAAAATAACCACGAGCATAATTCTATTTTATTTATTTTATTTTATTATGTTATGTTAGTCACCATACATTACATCATTAGTGTTTGATGTAGTGATCCATGATTCATTGTTTGCGTATAACACCCAGTGCTCCATGCAGTACGTGCCCTCTTTAATACCCATCACCAGGCTAACCCATCCCCCCACCTCCCTCCCCTCTAGAACCATCAGTTTGTTTCTCAGAGTCCATAGTCTCTCATGGTTCATCTCCCCCTCTGATTTCCCCCCCTTCATTTTTCCCTTCCTGCTATCTTCTTCTTCTTCTTCTTTTTTTTTAACATATAATGTATTATTTGTTTCAGAGGTACAGGTCTGTGATTCAACAGTTTCATACAATTCACAGCGCTCACCATAGCACATACCCTCCCCAATGTCTATCCATAATTCTCTTTTAAAATTAATTTATTATTGTAGGAAGGAAAATATATCTTAACTTTTTTGGTAAATATTTCTATAAAATAGTTTTCATTAAAATAATAGAATCATGGAACCAAAATCCCCTATTTTTACTGTGCTGTTCACTATTTCAGAGCTTCGAGAAACCAAGACCTCTGAATACTTCAGCCTGTCCCACCACCCTTTAGACTACAGGATATTATTAATGGATGAAGATCAGGACCGGATATATGTGGGCAGCAAAGATCACATTCTTTCCTTGAATATTAACAATATAAGTCAAGAACCTTTGAGTGTAAGTTTGTCATTTCTATGAGGGCCATGTTGACTTTGTTAGGTTCCTTTTCCTTTAAACATTTCAAATATAATGAAAATATTGTGTATTCCATTAGAACTATAGAAAATACAGGCCACATGTCAATAAATAATTGGAAGTTCATACTTACCTCATGGACTGAAAATATAATCAATTCAGTTCTCACTGTCTGGCTTCATAGATTTTAACACTTCAAAATCTGAAACTAAATGAGAAAATACTTCCTGTGTATGTGTTTGCATACGAGTGTGTGTGTGTGTGTGTGTGTGTATACAGAGAGATAGACAGACAGAAAGAAGCATACAGTATAGCCTGAAAAAAAATGATCAGACTAAAGGAAAATCTACCTTGTCATCTGTATGTAATCCAAGAAGGCCTAAAAGGAACAGTTAAGTGCACTGTTCTGTGAACAGGTATGACCTATATTTATCTTCTATTTCACAAGAAGGACATAAATTGATCTTCATTGGAGTAAAGAAGTAAAAGTAAATTATAAGTTTAATATAACAAGGAGAATTCTGAATTTATTATTTTAACAAGGGTCAATGGCTGACAATTAAAAAAAATAATCATCAGTGTCAGACTTGACCCAAGGCTACAGTGACTTAGAACACTAGCTGAGTATTTGAGAGAGGGAATCTCTTGGATTCAATCCAAGTTATTTTAGCTGTTGAAGTACCTAGGGGCCTGTTTTAAGTAAATCTACCAGCCTGGCTCTGTGGTTTACCAAAAACAATATTAAACCAAAATAGTAATATAAATGTAAATTCATTGTGATGTAAGCAGTTGAGAAAAATATAGTAGAAAAGGAGGGAAATATACATTTTATTGTACACATGAATGACCTTATTTTAATACTATGTCATTAGGAAATGGGCACATGTTATTAAAAGACTTTTGTTAAAGGAAAAATTGATGGGAGAAATAAAAACAATTATTAGAATAAAATAATAAAATTTTTATGAATTTAAGTTTATAAATTTAAGTTTATAAACTGAAAGAAAACTCTTGAAATATAAATATAGAAATGCCTTAAAGAAATGTGTTAGCATAAAGTAAATGAAGAGCACTGAGTTTCATATGTAAAAGTGAGATTATGCAACCTTTATTTTCCTTTCTGAGCAGGTTTTCTGGCCGGCATCTGCAATCAAAGTCGAAGAGTGCAAGATGGCTGGCAAAGATCCCACAGTGAGTGCCTAAAAAAACTCCAAAACTTAAATATTTAGTCTTTGAATCCATGTACTTCGAGTGCAGCCAAGAGTGAGACAAAGGGTGTTGGTATTTTAAATCTTCGGCTGGACACATGGTAAAAAATGTAAATGCAAAGAAATTGGAACTCTTAAACACTGTAACTTAGGAATTCCTGACTGGGTAAAAATTTCTTGCCTTGCTTTCATTATTGCATTCTGACACATTTCGTGATGGATTTCAGTAATAACCCCTGTTCCACTGGATCCAACCTGCAGAATTCTCAGCAGGCCACTGAAATAATGATAATGCAAGTGTCTGGAGAAGCTCCCAGATACCATGTGGGCTTTTCCAAAGAAAGATCTCGGCAAAAGGGTACTGGTGAGCCAGCACATTCCAGAGGCTTAAATCACCAATGATTACTGGTATCTTTGTTAGTTAAAAATAACCATGGAAACAAAAATCAAGACAGACATGAATATCAATAAATGTTCAGTGTGCAACATTTGTACAAATTGTATATCTTTAGGCAGAATTCCATATAAAGAGTTAAGAAAGAAATCTATATGGATTTCTGCAAACAACTTGCTGAAACTGACACATTCAATTATTCTCGAATATTATAAAACAAATACATGGACCCGGTCTTTTATGTACACGTTATTTAATTTTATAATGAAGCATGGATATCATTTTACCTTCTTGTCTCAAAATGCAAAAAATATAATGGAACCGTATATCAGAATTACCCATTCTTACACAAATGATTTGGTAAAGAAGGTTTTTTTTTATGGATTTATTTACTTTTTCAGTCATTCATTCCACCAATACAGATTGAGCCCCTATTATGTGTCTGGCATAGTGTTTATTGTTACAGACATAATGTATACTAAAATAGACAGTCTGACTTTCCTCAACTTTATTATCTTGCTGGAGAAGTCCAAGAACATTGATCAAATGAGCATGGAAGTATGTGCTTATGCAGGTATGAAGTTGAAATATGGTGGCTGGGTAGAAAAACTAGTATTTGTACACACACATACACACAATCAGCTCTGAGGTCATAAGAAATAACAACTTCGACTTCGTGTAAAAAATGTTGACTAAGGGCGCCTGGGTGGCTCAGTTGGTTAAGCGACTGCCTTCGGCTCAGGTCATGATCCTGGAGTCCCAGGATCGAGTCCCACATCAGGCTCCCTGCTCAGCGGGGAGTCTGCTTCTCCCTCTGACCTTCCCCCCTCTCATGCTCTCTCTCTATCTCATTCTCTCAAATAAATAAATAAAATTAAAAAAAAAAATGTTGACTAAGCACTCATTGTAAGTGTAGAGGTAAGAAATGCTGTCTTCAGGGTCCAAGGCTATGCACTGAGCTTTGATAGTGAGGGTCTCAGAGATTCATCACGGTGGTTCAAGGAAAAGAATGATCCTTGTGAAAAGAGGAAGTGTGGAAATTAAACTTTCATTTTCATTGACTCTTAACCATCCAGGTATGAGGTTCTGAAAAGGTCTGGTGTGAGACAGGGCCATGGAAGACTCTGGGTCTCATTGGAGGGTGTTGTTGAGAGGTCACCAGGAGTGACTCAGTTCTGGGTCTCATGTTTTCAGTTTTAGAATTCACCTTTTAAGAGAAATTTTCAAATGGGCAGAAGGAGCTTGCAGAGGCATATTTGCTCCCCATGGGATCTGCTGGGCCGTAGTATATAGGAAAAAATCCAGAAAAATGTGTAAGAAACACTCAAAAGAATACATTATGCTTGTCTTCTAGGGAACAAATAGTAGAAAGTATAATGTTGTGGAGAAGTCTTTTTTTTGTCCAATGAAGCTATTATTTCAATAATTGTGCATGAATTTGATTGTTTTCTTTCATTCTCTAATGTAGAGATTTGGCCCGCTGATGTGTATCCTACCATGTCTTGCCTTTTGCCACAATAATATCCTGTGGCTGTAATTACTGGATTTAGTTGTCCTCTTTGTTCAAAAGATTTTCATTTCCCATTCATATGAAGCATCACAGACAGAATATGTAGGATTTAGATACCATTGCACATTCTCTTTTCAAAGATTGGTGTTGATTTTCTGAAGAATCTTAGCCAAGTAATTTGATGTCTTTCTCCCTTTGGCAAAATAGAAATGCTCTGTCATTTGCTTTCTTATAATTAAGAGTCATTAGATGAAATCTTTAATACATGCTTACATTTTCCCATAGTTTTATCATGCTGTAATATCATTCATGGATATCTTTAAATTCTGCTATGTAGCCAGTTAGTATACATAACAGAAGTAACTGGTGGAGGGTTCTGTTCTAATATGGCCAACATTGTTGGGTCCTGGGAAATAATCAAACTAACTCTTTCAAATACATGTTCTGTCTATGCAAGAGAAGAGAATGTTTGACAATCCAGCTCATTTCGTACATGTGAAGAAGTACTTAGAGAGAAGTGTCCTTTAATTAGGCCACAAGAAAAAGACCAGTGGTAGGAAAAGAAGGCAAAATAGTCTTTAGAAATTCTACGGAACAACATATTTTTATTACATGCTTTAATGAAATTAAATAGTTAATCATCTCTTAATTCTGTTAGAAGAAATATCTAATACTCAATATTTTATTTAAAAACACTGGAATTTTAATTTGTGCAAATCAGTTACCTATTATGAAGGAACCAAAAGTGAAGAAGATGGAGTCTCTATCTTTAAGAGTCTTTACAAGATACTAGAGATGATGAGACATATGCAGTAACTACCAAATAGTAATAACCAACATTTAATGGAATGGGCCAGGCACCGTACTAAGTCTTTTAATCCTCAAATAGCGCTACAAGATGGACAGTATTGTCACCATTCACATTTTTAAGATAAAAAACAATCACTAAGAGTGAGGAACTTACCACAGCTGCCCTGCTAGCAAGTGGGAGGGGGCCCACTCTCTGTCTTATCTGATAAAACATGCCATCTCACTAGGAAGAATTCGGTAAATGCTAAGGATACCCACAAAAGACAAAGAAAAACACGCTGCAGCTGGGATATTTAAGAAAGTTTTGATAGATTTGTTGGCAACTACATTAGGTCTATGTTAATCTTTTTCTTTATTTTATTTCAATGATACTGAAATTGAAATAAGTTATACCCTTTTCCTCTTTCAGCCTTTGACCCCAAGTACATGTGACTCCCTTCTTATTCAATCATCTTCCCATCTTTTTAACCTGGGAGTCACCTACTTACCTTCTCAAGTAACAGTGCAGATGTCACTTCTCTGTAAAGTCTCATCTGCCCACCTGGGGCTAGGCTGGCTGTCCCTCTGTGTACACTGGAAACACGGGCACATGTTGTACTGTGTTTGTAACTATAAGTCTCCCCTTACTGATTGGAAATACTGGGTAGTGTCGTTATTCTCTGTGCTCAGATCCATATCAAGTTAAACAAGATCTGAAAAAATTCAAACCAAGCATGGGAATCTGTTCCAAGTAATCGTCGGAAGTTGGGGGTAGGACGCGGTGGATGGTGAGTTTATTGATGCCTTTAAATTAATAGTATTTTTAGTAAATTAATTTTGCACATATTTTAGAATTTCATTTTGATTAAATTAAAATATTTTGATGTTAAATATTATATTAATCATCTACTTAAGCAAAACATAAGCTAGTGACAATTAAAATCCATACTGCTGTAGCAACTGAAAGAAAATATACAGCATGGACTCAAGCATCTCTTATTCCTTTAGATTTTTTTAATGTACCAAATTTTAATTAGAGAAAATAACACTTATTAGAAAATAATTCAAGATAAACTAAAATTTGATCCCAGTAATCATATATCTATTGTAATAAGGTAATGTTTATAAAGAAAATACATTATCATGGTGGGAATATAGCTAATTTTCTGCCTCACTAAAGAGACTGTAACCCACCTCCCATTTCCCTCTCTGTCCCTATGTATTCACATTCCTCCATGCTCCATTTATGTCTAAATGTTAATATTTTATTCATACTCTAAATAAATTGAGCTTACACAGTAGCACATATGCTGTCAAACATATCCAATTAGATAGGGCATAATGAACGCACTAAGTAAATACTGTAAGAGATCGTTGGAAAATTAAGCAGGATTACATATATTTAGACATATGTGCATTACATGCACACAATGTCAAACTTTATTAATTGAGGAATATCAGTTTCCCTATTTATGTGACCAAAGGATCCCAAACTACTGGAAAATATATTTTCTTTAGAAATATATTTATCAAAATACCTTGATTTATTGCTCACACCAAAGAAGTGTAGGCCAAGAAGAAAAGAATAAGAGGGACTTTTTTCCCCATTGCATAGTCTGGGCCATGAAGAGTCAATATTTTTAAAGCCTTATGCATCTGTGTTCCAGGACATATTTTCAAAAACATCTATGTTAAAAATTACATAACAAATACATGTTCAATACAGAAATCTTTGAAGACCTAGAAGAGCATGTAAAAAGCAACAGAAAACAATATCTTCTGAGCTCTTTCACCCTAGAGACTTAACCTCTCTGTGCTTCAGTTTCCTTGTCTGCATAATGGGCATTCTCATAGTACGTACCTTATTGGGTTGTTGTGAGGATTAATGAGTTAATATTTGATGAGAGCTTAGTACAGTACATAGCACATGGTAAGTGGTATATTACTATTAAGTAAATAAAATAAATTCCACTACTCAAAGTAATCACTTAAAAATTCGGTGTATATTTTTGCAGCACTTTATTGTTTGAAATTTATAGGAATATAAATAAAATGGTATTATATTCTGCATAATGTTAACAGCATGATTTTTCATTTAGCATTGTACCAGGAAGCAGTTTTAAAAAAGGACTAAGCAATTAAAAAAAAAAAAATCCACAGTTTTAAACTTCACTGAAGGCTCATTCTCCAAACCTTTCATAGATGTCTGCTATGGTCAGGACCTGTACTAAGCTCTGTTCAGGAAAAATGCCCTGTCCACTTCACCAGACTTTTTCTGACCACTGAAATAAAAAATACATATGGAAGAATCCAATATCTGACACTGTGCATATTTATTGTGTGCTAGACACGATTCCACACACGATTGTTCACAACAAATGTTATCATCACCATTTACAGGTAAAAAGATTGAAGCACAGAGAGGCCAAGTAAATGTCTCAAGTTCAAACAGCTACTGAAAGGTAAATCTAGAGTTTGTACCCAGGTCAATTGGCTCTGAGATTTGTACACTTAAATCCACCATCTACTGCCCATCTGAAGACTGTGGCATGATGACAGACCAACTCTAATTGCCTCTCTGGTTTCATCACACAGTAATTCACTATCCCCTCTAGGCACTGCTTCCCAAGTAAATCCTGCTCTGTCATGCCCCCAGTATTTTTTTTTGTTCATGTTCTTTTTTTTCTGTCGGAAAGCTCTTTCTTTGTGCTTTTGCCTGTCAAAGTATCTAGCTTATTCTTCAAGTTCCAGCTCCAATGACACCCCCTTTCAAACTCTTACACCCAGGTCAGCATTATTCATTCTCTCTTCTCTCCTCCTGTAGCATATTTTTGAAAAAATATAACTCTATTATAGCATCTACACAGCCTCATATATTATGGTTTCCTTTCTCTGAAAGGAGAAATTGAATCTATTCATTTCAGTGTTGTTGGCACCATATACAGTGTTTACATAGAACGAGTTCAGTAAATATTTGCTGGATAGCATTGATATGATTGCTGTGGTCTAAATCAGAAATAATGTGGACAAAAACTATGGAAACAGAAAAGACCTAGAAAATGATTTCCAGTAATTAACTGATTTGTTTTTCCTTTGTCTTTTTCTCTGTGGGGAAGGTTGGAGGGGCACACTGGGCATTATCAGGTAGTCTGGGAATCTGTTTCATGGTGAATTCACCCCTTTCTTTGGAAAAACTAGATGGTGGAGGGTAACCATGGTTCCAGACCCAGCACTTCATTTAACTTCTTTGGGACTCAGTTTCCTCATCAGTGAAATGGGACTAATACTTTAATTAGAGCATTGCTTTGAGGATTAAAAATACATAACATCAAAGGATTAAGAGCTCTGCAAACATTAATAACTTGTAAAAACTTTCCTCTACCCACTGTGGATTTCTCACCCAGTGACAAATTATAAAGTGATTAAAAGTACAAGATTCAATGTTAGACACACATGTGCTTGAAAATCTCTTTTACCTGTTTCTAGCTCAATGACTTCAAGCAAATTAACTAAAAAAGCTCTAAGTTCTGTTTTTCTAAAAGGAGTTGAGTTGTACCAAACTGAATGAATGTGAAGTGCCCAAATGGTGTAAGTACATTCAATAAATGTGAGCTATAAAAGTGAGAAATCAAACCCCCTGGGAAGTAAAACAGGTTAAATATGTAAAATGATCATTCCAAAGTCTAGTGCATGGTAAATTCCCAACAAATACTGACCATGATAAGTAGATATAAAATAGAGAGAGAGATAGAAACATATACATGAAACAAGTATAATCTGTATTTGAAATACAGTACATATTAGTGATGTCTTTCTTTTTACCAATACCAGTAATTCATGACAGTAAACGGTCTACAAAACTCAAGACGACATATAATCTATTATTAATAGAATTGAATTCATGTCTTATATGGGAAAATAGAATATACAGAATCCCAGAATGATTAAACTTGTATGTGAAAAACATAAACACAAGTCGATAACCTAAACCTGGATGTATTATATAAACACCATACTTCATCTATTCTTTTTCTACAGAGAAACACATTATCATCTGCAGTTATGTAGTCAATTTCCAGGTACCTCTATATAAACAGGTGTCAAGATACAGTGACACTATATATTTAACAAAAACTCTTGATGTCTTAAAATAAAAACAAAGTGTATAGTCTGGTCTGTAAGGATTAATTTCTTTGACAACAGAGCTAATGATTATTTCATAATAAAATCCATGATAAAAACATGTATAAAATTACAACATATAAAAATAAGCATCTGTTCGCTGGCAAGTAATAATATAAAAGGAGAATATTGTGAGAAAATGTAAAATAATATTGACTTAAAATTAAACTTGACTGCTAAAAAAAATTAACTTCTACCTTAGTAGAATTGGTTGTTTTTTTTTACTTTACTAATAATATAAATAATAAATGTGCTTATAAAAAATTAGTAATATGGTACTTTAAAAGAGTAAAAAAAAAAAAAAAGAAATATATGCTGTCTGACTACCCATGGGAAAACCACTGTTACCTTTTAATATATCTATTTATAAAAAAATTTGTCCTGGGGCACCTGGGTGGCTCAGTTGGTTAAGTGACTGCCTTCGGCTCAGGTCATGATCCTGGAGTCCTGGGATCGAGTCCTGCATCGGGCTCCCTGCTCGGCAGGGAGTCTGCTTCTCCATCTGACCCTCCCCTATCTCATGCTCTCTCTCTCATTCTCTCTCTCTCAAATAAATAAATAAAAATAAATAAAAAATAAAAATTTTGTCCTTATAACATCATTTTTATTTATCTTTTATTTTTTTAAAGATTTTATTTATTTGAGAGAGAAGGAGAGGGAGAGAACTCGAGTGGGGGGAAAGGCAGAAGGAGAGGGACAGGCAGACTCCCTGCTGAGCAGGGCGCCCACCGTGGGGCTCGATCCCAGGACCCTGAGATCATGACCTGAACCAAAGTCAGACACGTAACCAGGTGAGTCACCCAGGCGCCCCTTTAAAATCATTTTTATGATGTTTTTTGTGAAGAAAAATTACTAAAGAAAACAACATTGAATCTCAGGCTTGCTTAATTTGTAGTCAAGAAGGGATAGTGAGCCTAGCAATATACAACATGCAGTGATTAATTCACAGAGATCTACCTTTGATGCTGACCATGTTTATATACTTCTGCAAGGTCAGAGTCAACTTATAATTACAATAATATTTTGCATTTCATTGAGTGAACAAATGACAACTTTTCCAATAGTGGGACTAGGAGCAGGTGAAAAGAAAACTGGGGAAGAAAGTATTTTAGGGGAACGGAGGCCAGAGAGATAATGATCGCATCACAATGTTGGCATGTGTTTACAATCTGCTTTATTCACCCACTGTAAAAGCCAGTAGTGTTTGCCATTATGTGGTAACGATGATATGGACATTGTATAAGCACAGTTTCATTCAAAATATGTTTATATAACGTGTGTGTGCATACATGCCACGTTTTGAGGAACATTTGAGGAAACATTTTGGTGTACTTTTCAGTTTCTCAACTTCCTCAGACATAGAGTAAGTTCATAAAGTTTCAGAACATAAAAACTTACACAGTGTATAAAATATTAAAATATGAGAGAGAAAAAAAAAATGAGAGAGACATACCAATTTAGTCATCCAAGTTGAACTACCTTCTTCCTGAAGTAAACCAGTAGAATAAACCATGTTATTCTCTTGTTATCTGCTAACAACAACAAAAAAGGGAGAGCAGGAAGGAAAATATTTAGCAGAGTATGAGAGTACTACTTAGAAATAGCAATAAAAGTCACTGTATTACTAACTGCTTATTCATTTGTTCTTTCAGCATGGCTGTGGGAACTTCGTCCGTGTAATTCAGGCTTTCAACCGCACTCACTTGTATGTTTGTGGGAGTGGTGCTTTCAGCCCTGTGTGTACTTATTTGAATCGAGGGAGGAGATCAGAGGTAAGTGTAACAATTTTTCATTATTAGTTTTAGTGTTAGTGTCAAAGATTTCTTAAAACTGTATTTGAGTCTAAAAAAGTTGTAATCCATCAAAGGTTCAAGCCCTTTTCTTTATTTTTTATTTATTCATTTGAGACACACAGAGAGAGAGAGAGAGAGAGAGAGCATGAGCAGGGGGAGAGGGAGAAGCAGGCTCCCCGCTGAGCCAGGAGCCCGATGTGGGGCTCGATCCCAGGACCCTGGGATCACGACCTGAGCCGAAGGTGGATGCTTAACGACTGAGCCACCCAGGTGCCCCCATTCAAGCCCTTTTAATTCAAAATATATTTCATTTGGTTACTGTCCTCCAAGTTACTTAAAGTGTAGCTTTTGCCTTCAACTAAATACATATATTTCTGAATAAAAAAGCTGCAAAAGATGCAGGAAAGAAAAATGGTGTAATTTTATAATTATTTAGAAAAGAAGGTGTTGATACTATTTGCTCCAAATTATAGAAATATTGTAGTATACCCTCACTTTCTTAAAGCTATTTTAAGTAATTTCTTATTTAACTTTCAAATTTGGTAAACTTTTATGAGATAAGTGTACAAGATATATAAAGCAGGATGCCAAATGCCTTTGCTGAAAAGAACTTTCTAAAATTAATGGATCATACTTTCATTTTAGACCAACATTATAGTCTACCCTAGACTTTTTAGCTTTATTTTTACATTAGTTAAAATGATTTGGGGTTCTATGAACAAACACATTTGCTAAACACTAAGTATATACCTAATGTGTCTAGACAAATAAAGGCTGGTTGAACTTCACCAATGATATTTAAAACTCTGTTTATCTCAATTTGTAATTAGTGACTAAGGAAAGTATGCATTAGACCAAAAGAGATTTTCCCTCCTTCCTTTAATTGAACATGTTGTTTTACTAAATAGAAGCATTTTAAAAACTTAATTATTCTAAATTATCTTGCTTTGTTTTCCTTATGCAACTTAAATCTAGAATGTCCAGTTCTTAAAGAATGTCAATTCAATGTTAGAGATTAGAACTGTAAAAAAGATTAAATATTCCTACTGACATACCTTCTTTTTTTTTTTTTAAAGATTTTATTTATTTATTTGAGACAGAGAGAATGAGAGAGAGAGAGCACATGAGAGGGGGGAGGGTCAGAGGGAGAAGCAGGCTCCCTGCCGAGCAGGGAGTCCGATGCGGGACTCGATCCAGGGACTCCAGGATCATGACCTGAGCCGAAGGCAGTCGCTTAACCGAGCCACCCAGGCGCCCCTGACATACCTTCTTAAGTTTATTTTCCTTTAACAGAGATTAAAGTACTCTAGTACAAATATAATTGAACAATGATTCTCTTTATATTACTTTATTATTAATTTTTTTCAGACCTGTAATTTTTACACACATGTCGTTGGGTAAATAAAAAGTCATTTAAAAATAGCTGAATAATTATAAGTTGACCCCAAAATGAGGCATTTCCAAGTGGTTCAAGATGATATGAAATATTACAAGTCTTGAAGAAAAGGAAAGGTATGCTTCTTGGAAGAGTATAGTTGGCGGCATTGAGCTTGTCATTAGAACCACATGCCTGTGATCAATTGATTAAATAAACTCCTGCCCCAGACGTCTGTAATCTGTCAGACACTCCACTGAAGGCTGTGCAGTTCTTGTATAGGCCAACAATAGCATAGCAGTTTTCAGAGCACAGATTTCAAATAAAATCATTTTCCCATGTACAAATGGCCCACGATGTACTTCGAGACTTAATTGGAAAGTCGGTCCAAAAAATAATCTCCTGTGGAAAACCAACATGGAATAAAATTTAGTCACTTTACTAAATATGAACTACTTTAGTCTCACTTCAAAAGATATATTTCAAAGGGGAAGCATTTCCATTAATTAATCTCTTTAAATAACATGCGAACATCTTAAGAGCCAATTTAAGTATGAAAAGCATTATGAATTTCAAGCTTTGTATGTAGTCGATTCAAGTCAAGGGATTTCACCATAACATCATTTTTTATATATCTATAGTATATAAAAACATAAATATAGAATGCATAATCTCTCAAGCATCTACTATATTTGTTTTCTTTAGTTTAGGATAAAGGATTCCTGAGCATAAAATGACCGCATGATACAGAGAGTTGTATTTTGAGAGAATTTTCCTTCTTATGAATCACTAACGCTGTATTTTTTTTTAAGATTTTATTTATTTATTTGACAGAGAGATAGAGAGAAAGCATAAGTAGACAGAGTGGCAGGCAGAGGGAGAGGGAGAAGAAGGCTCCCTGCTGAGCAGGGAGCCGGACGCGGGGCTCGATCCCAGGACCCTGGGATCATGACCTGAGCCGAAGGCAGCCACCCAACCGACTGAGCCACCCAGGCGCCCCTCACTAACGCTGTATTTTGTAATGACCAGGGGTAGTAGTCCCTGGTAACACCATGTGCTGGTGCTAAGATAGGGCCTTTTTCCTGTATTTCAAACCAGTTTGAGAGTGTACCAAATTAGGATGGCACAGTCATTACTTACTCTGTTTTATTTCTGAGACACTATCTACCACCCTCTATCTGCTTGTCAAATAGCAATTCATTGGTTCTCAGAGGATATTTTATGAGCCTACTTAACATTTGGAACATCACACACTTTCGTTATATCCTATGAGTCTTTCATTATTCTGTGAGACTGAGTCAGAGCTTTTCCAGACCATTTCAGTGGTGCCCATGCAAAGAGCCTATGAATCCTTGCTCCCTCAATTCCTAACCATGGTACTTCTCTTCTGTCCACTGTCTTCATTCTCTGTCTTCTGTTCCTAAAAAAAGATAAAGCAACACAAGGATATAATGACTTGAAATAATGAATAAAACATGAATTTAGAAGCTATAATTGGTTAATTTTGCTGCACATTCTTGGAATAGTACTACATCTCATTTCTGGTTGATTTTATCAGATGTCTCCATACATTGGTTCCAACAGTTGAATACTGCTTAAGCCCCTCAGTTATCAAGCAGATAACCTTACCTTTGAATGTCCAAGAATATCACAGGCATTCGAATTATTCCCCGAGCCTTTTGAGCACATTAGTCACCAAACTTTTCTGCTTATGAACCTTTTCCTAGCTTTCCTTTTGTCAGAAGAAAAGTTGTGTGTGCATTTTCCTTATCAATAAAGTTCTTTGATCAATAACCTTCATTATTCTGTTTAATATCTTCATTTTCTTTCTCCTGTTATTTACTGTTTTTCCTGTTTTAAAATAGGATGTTTCTTTTCCTTAAAATCATTATCTCAGATCTGTGACTTTTTTCAACTCTTTTTCTTTTTCTCTCTTTTACTTACCACAAAACTTCTCAGACTAGTAGGCTATATTTTCAGCTTTTATCTTCCTGTTTTTCATGTAATTATTAAACCTTTCTGATCTGACTTTCATTACCATCCATAAACTAAAACTATTTCCTAGTGACCAAGATTCCTCAGGGATCAGATTGACTCCCCTAATCAGCATCCTTTCTCCTAGATCAATCTATAACATGTTGGTCATGCCCTCTATTTTTCAATGCCTTTATTGACATCTGTAACCGTGGGACATTTTGCTATGCCTTCTTTCCTAATTTTTCACCACCTACTCTCTTTCTGATCCTACTTGTTTCTCTCACTGATCCAATCTACAAATATGTATTTATTTGATGAGAATAATGGCAGAAACAAAATTATATCAGAACTTGTAAGCTACCTTTAAGATGTTGGTCTTTATCCTGTGTCAAAGGAGGAACTGTAATGATCTTAAGCAGCAAATGGCATGGAAAGGCATGTGTTTTCACTTGTGTGTTATGTTGCAAATGATTTAGGGTGGAGAGGGAATGAGAGGGTTGTAGTGAGATCAGTTAGGGAGTGGATGTAATAGACCAAGAAAGAAATTATTTTAAAAGGTCAAGAAAGAAAGAGAGTGGCAATAAAGACAGAAAAATAGGCATAAAGTATAAAATAGTATAGCTGATAATGGTGGATTTGGCTATGTAAAAGAAAATTTACAATGACACAGATATTGATATTTTTGTTGTTTGTTTGTTTGTTTTAAAGATTTTATTTATTTGACAGAGAGAGACACAGCGAGAGAGGGAACACAAGCGGGGGGAGTGGGAGAGGGAGAAACAGGCTTCCCGCTGAGCAGGGAGCCTGATATGGGGCTCGATCCCAGGACCCTGGGACCATGACCTGAGCCGAAGGCAGACGCTTAACGACTGAGCCACCCAGGCACCCCTGTTGTTTGTTTTTTTATTTTTGGCCTTTTCAGTTAAATATTTGACATGAGCTGAGTGAGAAACAACAAAGAGAATCATGTTCGAGTTTAAATTTTAAGCCTGGGCTTTGTTCTCTTGAGTTTGAGTTGCTGTTGAAAGATCCAAGTAGAAATATCAAGTAGGCAGTTGAATATATGGTTGGCTATATAAATGTTTGAGTCATTGTTTTATAAGAGTAACTGAAACCCAGGGGCGCCTGGGTGGCTCAGTTGGTTAAGTGACTGCCTTCGGCTCAGGTCATGATCCTGGAGTCCCTGGATCGAGTCCCGCATCGGGCTCCCTGCTTGGCGGGGAGTCTGCTTCTCCCTCTAACCCTACCCCCTCTTGCGCTCTCTCTCTATCTCATTCTCTCTTCAAATAAATAAATAAAATCTTAAAAAAAAAAAAAAAAGAGTAACTGAAACCCAGGCAATGCATGGGTTTAGTCATGCAGAGAGGGTATAGTGTGAAAAGAGAAGTGTGACTGTGGTTGACACTTGAGGGTCTCTTAATTTAATGGCAAGATGGAGGAAAAGGGACCTTCGAACATGACTAAGAAGAAACAGCCAGGAAAGAAGAAACTCCCAAGTAGAGGGGAAGAGACAAAAATGTGTTCATTCTGGGACTGAAAATAAGGCTTTTAAAAAAGGTAGAAATGGGCAACAATCTCAGATATCATTGAGAATCCAAGTAAAATGAAGTCTAAAAAATAAACACTGAATTGTGTAGCATGGTTGCCTTTAGGATATAACAAAGGGTTTCAATAGAACAATTGATGTTGAATACCCAATTGAGATGGATTGAGAAGAAAGTGAGAAGTTAGGAAATGGTGATGAGTATATGTAATTCTTTAAGAAATGTGATTCTTCGGGCGCCTGGGTGGCTTAGTTGGTTAAGCAACTACCTTCAGCTCAGGTCATGATCCAGGAGTCCCGGGATCGAGTCCCACATCGGGCTCCCTGCTCAACGGGGAGTCTGCTTCTCCCTCTGATCCCCCCCCTCTCATGCTCTCTGTCTCCCATTCTCTCTCTCAGATAAATAAATAAAATCTCAAAAAAAAAAAAAAAGAAATGTGATTCTCAGAGAGTAATGTGTAGGAGCTGAATGGGTTGTATAAATGATGATGTAAAGTTCCAGGTAATAAGATCCAAGAGAGGGGGGGATAATGAAAAGTGTAAGTTGCCTAAGAAGACTGGATATGATCAGATCCAAAACATTGGTGGAATGGTTGACCTTAAAGTAAGAGGAAGAGTTCCTCTCATGTGCTAGTGGAATGTATTAGTGTATATTCATTTATGTGTTTGGTAGTGAGAAGTTGAAGATGTCTCATTTAAAGGCTTCACTTATTCTGCAATCATATGATCAATCATTTGTTAATCATATGAGCTGAGAACAAGTTAGGTGATTTGACTATAGTGACAATGGTTTGAAATTATTAATGGAAGAACCAGCTGATAAGAGTGTCCTTGAAAGTTTACTAAGCAGTACAGAAGATCCATTTTGTGTTGTTGATCACAAATCTATATTACGTTGCATTTACCTTGTTGGATCACCCTCTGCAAAATGCTTAGATGTTTGGATACAAGTATGGAGAATGTATAGATAGACATGCCCTTCTGGGTTGTGCTTTCAGTGAAAAAAAAAAATCACAGATTCAACCTATTTCTAATTTAAAAAAAAAATCACAGATTCAAGGAACTTAATATTTCTGCAAAAAACTAGTGGAACTAAATAGCACAGAATCTAAACAGGTTAACAAAGAAAGTCAAGAAGAGAGAAGGCTGATGAAGTAGGTTCCTAGGAGATGAAATTGGAGAATTGTTACTGTGTGTTTGAATTAGTGATTATTCAGGTAGACTACAGTCTTCCTTGTGACAAGATCTCAACTCGAATTGTGTTGAGAAACACATTTTCTCAAAAAATGAGAAAGGATGCTGTACAATGGAGGAGTAGTTCAGTGGAGAGCAAGAGGTACCTAAGCAACTTCATCAGTTTCCTGCAGTGCCAACTCTCACATTTTTAGTAAAATATATGTATGTCTCTGGCTAAACAATCACAACTGGCCTTACCAAATTTTATTGTTTTTCTCAATTATTTGCCTAGTTTAGTCATTGTATAAATATTGATTTTTTGGAAAACACATAGTGAGGAGTCAGGAGCCTGAATTCTAATTTTACTTTTGTCATTATTTAGCTACATGATCTTGGGCAAGTTATATTTTCTTCATCTAAAGAGTTAATTCATTGAAGAGGATCATTTTGTAAGACCTTTTCAGGCTAGAAGACTGTGATTCTTTTTAAGCTCTATGATTTCCTAAAATCTCAGGGATGTCCTTCCAACTTATCAAATTCAATGTAAAAAAATGAACTAGTTTTATTTTCTTTAAAGAGTCAAAAGCTCAGCAGCATCTTTATTTTCTTCATCTTTTTTAACTACGTCTAATTTGTAATTGATTGCCAAGCTCTGTTGATTTTTACTTTACAACTTTTCTTATATCTTTACTGCTCTTACCATGATCTCTGAGATCCTGACATGTCAGATTATTATTACCTAATTCCTGGACTATTGCAATTGAAAGCAAATCTATTTCTTCAATCCAATGTCTGTTTTTAAAACTGCGATTCTCTGGGGCGCCTGGGTGGCTCAGTCGTTAAGCGTCTGCCTTCGGCTCAGGTCATGATTCCAGGTCCTGGGATTGAACCCCGCATCGGGCTCCCTGCTCAGCGGGAAGCCTGTTTCTCCCTCTCCCACTCCCCCTGCTTGTATTCCCTCTCTCGCTGTGTCTCTCTCTGTCAAATAAATAAATAAAATCTGTAAAAAATATATATATATTTTAAAACTGCCATTCTCAATCTTCTTAAAACACCAAGGTAAGGCCCAGTCTTCTTAAAGCAGTGTTTTGATCCTTTCATTTCCATACACAAAAATATTTTCCATACAGGAAAATTTTGAAAAACCTTAGCTTGATGATTAAGATCCTCCATCATCTAATGCAACCTACAAAAGTGAAAAATTTTGTCTTTGAATTTTAGTAGTAGCTGTTGCTAACTTTATTTAAGAAAAAGGTAAATACACCAACAAAATATTCCCTCTCCATTAGGCTACACTGACCATTATATTTCAAATTGAATCATTGCCTCCAATCCCTGGGTTTCCCAAGTTCCATTTTCTGCTTAATTTTTCTCCTAAACACTGAGCACCATCCAGCATATTCTACATTTTCTGTATTTATTCTTTTTTCATATTTATATTCTCCATCATTATATTATAAATTACTTGAGGATAAAGATTTTTGTCTATCTCATTTACTGTATTCCTAATGTTTTGTTGGTACGTGGCATATATTAAATGCTCAATATATTCTTGTCAAATAAATAAATGAATGAGTAAAAAACATTTTTATCTAAATTATGAGTTCAACTTTGTTGAATCTAGCATAATGCTTACATAACAAAATTAACTGGTAATACAAATTTTAGAAATGTCTTGATTATTTTGGAAATATTATAATCCTTGTATACATTATTCTCTGTGGACAATTTTCTTCTTTTGGACAATTTTCAACATATCTAGTTCAGGTTTACAATGATCCTTGATTCCCAGGTGGTTTTTGCTGATATTGAATTTTTTTTTCCTGGTATTGATTTGAGAAGAACTTATTGGATCAGCTTTATGGGGATGGTAGTAGGATGAGAACTTTAACCTGCCGAAGTTTGCTTATAATTTCCAGATGTTTTCTTCATATAGGCCAAGAAAGTCTTAATAAAGTAAATTGAGGAGCCATAAGGAAACAAACGGAAAGCATATTATTTATGATGATGCTTTGTTTTACTAAAGAACAAATTGGGTTAACTAAATATAAAGTTATTTACTTTTGCTGTATTTGTATTTTTTCCATAATAAAGGACCAAGTTTTTGTGATTGACTCCAAGTGTGAATCCGGAAAAGGACGCTGCTCCTTCAACCCCAATGTGAACACAGTGTCTGTTATGATCAGTAAGTGGAAAATAAAAGAAAGAGGGGGAAATACCAAATGAAAAGGAAATTAAAGAAAATAAATTCATGACATGGTATGCCCGTCGAGATAGTAGCATGAATGATAGTCCATGAGTGAGGTAACAGAAAGAAAGTTGTGAGCTGAGAAATTGTAGTTTCTTGGTTGCAAGAATTCATGATTAAGTGATAAGCATGTATTTTTTTTTTCATTCACTATGATGCTGTCATTTCTAGAGCAAGTCAAACATTTACAAAAAAGTGTGTGTTCTTATACACGTAATGATATATATTATAAAATAATTTTCAATATTTTCTGTAGTTTTTTTTCTAGTATTAAGTATACCCATTTTTTCTCATATTTTAGTAATACTTTACAAATGATTAAAATGGTATTGCTTTCAAATGAAAGCATAACAAAATGCATGTGTATATCATTGGGACCAAAAATTAGAAAGCGAAATTACAAGATATTCAGTTATGTCTGATGCAGAAACTTTTCAGATAAGCTTCTGAATATTATTTAATAAAAGCAGTGTCTTGGAAAGTCTTTCCATTAGGAAGAAAACTGTATTCACCTATTGAAATGATCTGATACATATATATATAATACTGGCTATATAGAGTTTTCATTTATTTCAAGTTAAATGCTATGAAAATAAACTTCAAAGATCTGTGAACACTAATAGTCATCAAATATCGTTTAGAACAAAAAAGGTTTAAAACAGGACATTTTAAATTTTCCTGTTAAACTGTGATAAGTCATTTAATAGTTTTGTCCTTAGAGAATTGGATTTGTTTACAAAATTGAAGTTAGTTAGTGACTTTCATTTTTCAAGGATTTGAGACTTTAATTTCAAAAAAAAAAAAAGATTTCAATTTCTATTCTTATATTCTTTTTTTAAAGATTTTATTTATTTATTTATTTATTTATTTATTTATGTATTTATTTATTTATGAGAGAGAAAGAGAGAAAGAGAGCGAGCAGAGGAGCAGAAGGAGAGGGACAAGCAGACTCTGCACTGAGCACAGTGTCCGACGTGGGGCTTGACCCCACCACCCTGATCCAGACCTGAGCCGAAATCAAGAGTACGATGGTCAACCGACTGAGCTACCCAGGCACCCTTATCTTTTAATATTTTGATTAACATTAGAATGTAAGCTAGCAGAATCATTAAACTATTTGCTTACCTTAAAAACTGAAACAAAAAGGAGGAATAAGTTTAGTGGCTTGTATTTGTCATTTTCTTTGTTCTACTGATTACCCCTCTAAAATTATCTCCAATATTGTCTCCACTATTGTGGAGTAAATTTGTGTAGTCATGTCACTTTGCCATATGGGGCTTGATCATTTCTGTTCTAGTGCAAGGCACTAAATAACACAGATTGTTTAAAGTATTTATATATATTAAAGTATGAAGAAAAATTGAGAATTGAAGAATTCCAAATTTCATAATATAGTTGTGGTATCGAAGCCAATGTTCAAATTTAGGTGGTTTTTTTTGTTTGTTTGTTTGCTATTTTTCATGTCATTGTTGTAACACAGCAAGAAGTTAGGTGATATCTCTTAAAGAACTCATCAAGAGCCTCATGAGGTTCTTCAGTGGAACTAAAATTGGAAAGCAAAGGATTTTTGGATTAAAGTTAAAAGACACAGTTTATCTTTGCATAAACCAACACAGACATTCTGAAAAAAAATCCCTACTCAAAAATTTTTTTAAAGTGATATTAATAATTTCTTATACAAAATAAAGCAGAAGCTTCATTATTCCTAACTTGCTATTAAAATTAATAAGAGGGGTGCCTGGGTGGCTCAGTCAGTTAAGTGTCTGCCTTTGGCTCAGGTCAAGATGCCAGTGTCCTGTGATCTAGCCTGAGTTGCGCTCCCTGCTCAGTGGGGAGTCTGCTTCTCCATCCCCCTGCTCTTGCACTCCTGCTCTCTCTCTCTCTCTCTCTCTCCCCCCCCCCTCTCAAACAAATAAATAAAATCTTAAAAAAAATAAAATTAGTAAGAATTTAAGACAGGATATGAAGCCAATTAGACAGGTAGGCTTTTATAATAGTTAAGACATAACTAATAAAGTGGTGTGCAGTAGGATTAGAATCAGCCCTCTCTGCCACACACCATCCTCTGAGTGTCCTTTTTCCTTTTCTTCTTGGAAACAGGTATGATAATTGACAGCTGTGCTAATCAATCTATTGAATAGCAGGAATTTATAACCCACCATTTTGGTGGTAATCCTGTATGACAAAAATGTGAAATAATTAATTACAAAGTTATCTTAATTTAACAACTATTGTTTCTACAGAATACTTGTGTAGATGCTTCACAAATGTTCACAGAATTTTAAAGATGGCTAAATTGCTCCAAATGCTTTCATGAACATTTGTTATCTTCCTATAATCTGTTCTCATGGGTTTCAAACCCCTACTAGGAAGCAGAACTGGGCAACACAATGCCTGCCATACCCACTTGCTAACTGGTAAGGGTCCAGTTCATGGCCTGGTGAGCACATATTAAAAACATTTCATTCTCCATTCTATCCTGGGTTAACTGGTAATGCTTATTACTAAGCAGTGAGTTTAGAGTGCTTCACAATGTTCCAGTCCTGCCAAAATGACCATGATCTGAAGAGAGCCAGGGGAGTAATTCTAGAACATCAGTCCAAGAAAAAAACTGCACAGTGGTTCATTGGGTCAGACCTGTTACATTTTATTCTTTTTTAAATAGATATTTAACTACTTTTTTTATTCTAGGGTCATACATACCCATTCAATGTTTACTGTCCTTACTAGAAATTAATATGAACCTTAACAAATAAGTTCAATGTCTAATGTTATGCAAACGCCGATTAAAATATCTGATTTTACCATTGATGATAATTCAATTTTAAAATGTATTTTCTTTCTTATCTCTGCATTCTGGTTTTTATGGCTTAATATGTTAAACCACATGTGGCTTATTAACATAATATTATATTTTTGGCATAATGTTAATAATATATTGTGTATTACAATTGAAAAAGTAACACTTTGTTTACCTTATAGAAAACTAAAAATTAAAACATATACTTTTAATGATAAAATAAGTTTATCATTAATAATATTTTGACAATAAAAACTAATATTTTCAATCTATTTAGTGAAATCATGGAATTTTTAATACGTGGTAAAAAATTTTGAGACCATAAGCCAATTCCTGTATTTTACAGATGAGAAGGTAGAGATTCAGGGTACTAAATGACTTAGCCCTAATTCCCACTTGGTTAATTCCTGCCAAAATTAGAAACTGAGTGTTCTCTTACAGTATTTTTTACTTATTAAAAGAAAGTAATAATTAAGCCATTTTGTTATCATTTATACATATATTATTTCTGCCATTTTTGATTCACACTGTATAAACTTAGGTTTTTAGTATAATTAAGTATAGGCAGAGGAATTTTTATTTCTGTGTAGAATAAAATTGTTTTGGTAATCATACAGGCAATAATGAGACCAGATTAAGTTTAATCCAATTTTTTTATTTAATGGACAATGGAAACCAACAATTATAAACACTCTGTAATGTGGGTAGCTACCTAATAAGTGAGTTCTCCTTGATTTTTAAAATAACCTTAAAAACATTTAAAATTGTGTTGACATTTTCTTACTTTTTCATAGATGAGGAGCTTTTCTCTGGAATGTATATAGATTTCATGGGCACAGATGCTGCTATTTTTCGAAGTTTAACCAAGAGGAATGCAGTCAGAACTGATCAACACAATTCCAAATGGCTAAGTGGTAAGAAACATTTTCACCATTTTGAGAATCATGCTTTAAACTAATTTAATTCTGTAATGAAGAAAGGTTAAAATGGTTAAAAAACCAGCCATGATGTAACAATTTTGTACTCTCTGACAATAAATAATTGAAGTAGTACATAGTTCATATTTTCTTTATTAACTGTCATACAATTATCATAAGATATATTAATAAATAAAAATGACAGTGATCTTTATTTTACAGGCTCATATGCAAGAATCTTCTCCAGTTGTTTAATTGTAGCATATCACAATTAAATATGCTATTTATTCATTTAGTCTGCTTGAATATTTTAATAATGTCAAATCTAAAAATTTTCCTAAATTTGTGACAGTTAGATATAATGACTAAGGTATTTTCAGGAACTCCTCCTATTTGTTTTATACTTAGATCCTTAACTTATAAAACTGGTATATATAATTTTTAATTATTTATTTAGTACTTAACAGAAATCATAGGTATGATAACTTGATGATGATCACTATTCATTTGTTTCTAATTCTGGGTGGAGTCACATGAAATTCACATTATGAAAGATGCTCATTTGACTTTAATGTACAATTTCAATCATGAACACTGGGTGTCATATACTTAACTAATGAATCATTGAATACTACATCAAAAACTAATTATGTACTATACAGTGGCTACCTGAACATATTCATAAAAAAGAAGAAGAAGAAGGAGAAGAAACCACTAAGATTTGTGTCATTTCACCCTGGGGATGATTTCTAGCTGACCCTAAATTTGGCAATTCACTTAACATTGCACAGTGAAGCATGAATCACCACAGTTAAGCATCTTAGTTCATTGATAGGCTGGCACAAGAAAGCATCGATTGTCCATTTACTTCTTTAATTTATGACTCCAGTACATCTGGAAATACAGCATTCTAAAACTTGCTTTGTTCTTGAAATAAGGAATCCCTCTATGTCTTCAAATGAGTGCATTTTTTTCCTTGAAAAATTTCCCCTTCATTTAGTATGCTGTCTTTTAAGAAAAAAACATTTTTCAGATCTTGGACTCCTAGCTCCACATTCTGCTTCAATGAATTTGTTTTTATGCACTAGATTGAAAACTATACTTTGAAAAACAGACTTCTTTTTTTCTATAAAATGATCATTCAATTCCATGGGAAATACCTGGTAGAAAAGCCTTTTTAATTGTTTAGAACTCATCAGTGCACAAAAATTTTTGCATTTACTGAACTTCTAGAATGTATTGCAGATAGGGAAAGAATTGATTAAGCTATTATGTTATAGATATATTTTGTGGCACTTGACATTCCAAATACAGTATGTTGTGTGAATACAGTTACTGTTAGACTATGCCTATGAACATGGAAGTGTTCTTCTGTACCAAAGATGGAGAAGCCATATGCCCATGGTCTACTTGGATGAACAGTAGATGGATTTCCATCATGAGTATATATATAGTCTTCGTATTTTTTTTCCAGAACCTATGTTTGTGGATGCACATGTCATCCCAGATGGCACAGATCCAAATGATGCTAAGGTGTACTTCTTCTTCAAAGAGAAACTGACTGACAATAGCAGAAGCACAAAACAGATTCATTCCATGATTGCTAGAATATGTCCTGTAAGTATTAATCTTTTCCTAATTTGAAGAAAGACACAAATTCAAATCATATAAATATGTTTCCTTTGCAAATAGTTTATTTTCCTACTTTTATCTACGGTTACAGAATGAAATATTGAGAGGAGACATTTTAATTTATTGTTTATTCACATCAGTCATACGAGATAAAAAAGCTTAATTTAAGGAAATACTGTGGTCCTGGTTTTACACAAATTTTTGTTTTTCCATTTAATGCATTTGTATTAAAAACAAATAGCAAAATTGTATGTTACAGAAAGAAACAGAACAGTTCTTGTGAATAAAATACAGTAGAACCTCATTAAAGACAGTTATTGAGGAACTGTCTTACAACAGTGAAAAGAAATACATTCGTAAAATATAGTCTTAATTAAAACCAGTAAACAAAATGTTCTTGTGTATAAACAGTAAGTATACATAGCAACTCAAGAAAACTCATGATGCCCTCTCATATAGGAGTTTTATAGGTTTGCCCGGACTTATTTATGATTAGCATACTTTGTGCAAAAGTGTTTCTTAAAGTGTTCAGTGTTTAAAATAGTTTACTTTTAAATATTACAGTATTTCGCTGATTGTGGAGCTCATCTGCTTTTTAGTCATTTAGAACAAGGCAGTAAAGTCTGCAGAAGGGATGAAAGGCTTCTGGGCATACAGAAAAAAATCAGTAGAGACTATTTGTGAATGATCCAAATGCCATTTTCCCTTCCCTGGCTGGAGAAATATATATATAAAGCATCTGATTAGAAATACTCAGGATTAAAAGATAACACAGAGAAATGAAGGAGAGAAAATAGAACTACTGAAGACCACTTGGTATAAGTATAAACCCACTTTCCTGACCACAGTAGACTCTACAAGCTTCACTGTATACAATAATTTATGTTCATATTGAAGACAGTGAGTTATTAAGGCAAATTAAATTATGTGTTCTCCATACATTTTCCAGATATTTTCATCATACACTGTTAAATTTAGAAAGCTTTAGGGCATATGTATATTGAAACCTTTTCAATTGATACCATATTGTAGAAGATTAATCGTATAGCTATGGGCATTTTATAAAATACTATAGATCTTAAATATTCATCTTTGCTGGTATGCAGATGTAGTTAGCATTTCCACCCTTCAGATTATAACAAATCCTCAAGTAATACAAATCTAAGCTGAATTTTTAATGCCCTTTAATATTTATTTAAGCAGTCTTAAGTGTGTTTTCAAAATGGTTTCAGAATGACACTGGGGGACTGCGTAGCCTTGTCAACAAGTGGACGACCTTCTTGAAAGCGAGGCTGGTGTGCTCTGTAACTGATGAAGACGGCCCAGAAACACACTTCGATGAATTAGGTACATGGATGTGAGATTGAAAAATGTTTTTTGAGGGCACCTGGGTGGCTCAGATGGTTAAGCGTCTGCCTTCGGCTCGGGTCATGGTCCTGGAGTCCCGGGATCGAGTCCCGCATCGGGCTCCCTGCTCCTCGGGAGCCTGCTTCTCCCTCTGCCTCTCTCTCTCTCTCTGTCATGAATAAATAAATAAAATCTTAAAAAAAAAAAAAAATCCCACCTATTAAAAAAAAAAAAAAAGAAAAATGTTTTTTGAAAAAAAGAATTTGTAAAGTCTATTTTAATAACCTCTCAGAAGAGGGTCTATTTTCCATGAATGTTTTTAGCATAAATAATCTGCCAATTTGAATGAATGATCCGGATACTGTTCATAAATTTCCTTAAGTGTTTTTTAAATCTGTTTTGGCCCTGAGTGCACTACTAAAACATTCAGTTCATTGAATTCACCATGATAGATGAATGTGTGTGTGTGTGTGTGTGTGAGAGAGAGAGAGAGAGAGAGAGAGACAGAAACTGAGGTACTTGCATAATTTACATGTGAATAATGATATATTTGTGTTTATCTAAAAGAATGTGCATTTCATATGTATTTAAATTCTAATATTCTGATTTGAAATCAGTTTGTATGAGAATACAGCTATATATTTTTACTATTAATAGTTGATAAGCAGAATGGAGGTTGGATGGGAAAGTGTCAGAGTAGAAATTAGACTTGTGCGCCAGTCTTAGTCCTCCTTGGTGACCCTGGGATTAAGTATTCTCAGCATGTGTGACATGAGGAGGGTTATACTTTCGAGGTCAAATGAGGACTAACAGTCTGATTCCTTTCTACCATGGAAGAGTTATCTTTTTAATCAGAGTAACTTGATACACATCATAGGGTCATGTTTACTAAGTGCCATTTAGAAATGACTTTTACAAACTGAGGGTTCTAGAGGGGAGGGGAGTGGGGGGATGGGTTAGCCTGGTGATGGGTATTAAAGAGGGCACGTACTGCATGGAGCACTGGGTGTTGTACGCAAACAATGAATCATGGAACACTACATCAAAAACTAATGATGTGATGTATGGTGATTAACATAACATAATAATAATAAAAGAAATGACTTTTATTTTGCTTTAATCCATTAAAATGTAAACTGCTGGCTGTTTTCAGATTTTGAGGCAGGTGATGACATAAGCAATACAAATGCATTACAATATAGAAAAATCTACTGGTTCTAGCAGTCATAGAAACTGAAATAGGTAGTTGAACTCTTCAAAAGCCAGCCAGTGTGTTGATTGTAGAAACAGAAGTTTTTGTATCAGCTTTTCTAGAAGAAAGTTCCAAGTATGATTTTTGTGTTATAACCTGGTCACACATTATTTCCCCCAAATTCTTCACAAGTATGTTTATGTTTTAATGATTTAGGATATTTCAGTCTTTCTTGTTTTTTAGGGAAAGCCAGACAGCTCAGCCTTTTGCTCACATATAGAAAGGCTGCTCGTTATTAATTCATTGCTTAAGAGGTCCTAAATTCATTGTGAATTGAAAATAAATGCATCTTTCTTTGTATTTCCCAGAAAGAATCTTATTTGCAAAAATGTCACTAAATTCAGATTTTTCTTGTAACTGTAACAATTGATTATTAACTGGGGTTTCCTACCAGAAATCTACTTCCAGGTTTTGTTATGTATTACTGAACCTCACTACCTATACCTTTGTCTTTGCCTTAATATACTTTAAACTTTTTGTCATTGGGGGAATTATCGATTAAATAAAAATATCACTAGCAGTTTTGACCATAAGCCAAAAAGTCTTATTTTATATAAAGAAAAAAAGTCACTTTGAAAGAGTTTCCTTCCACATTCCAACTTCTAACCCTAGGTCAAAAAGAAATTGTGATTTATAATACTTTTTAAATTTAAAAAAGTGGCATATTATCATTAAAGGATATTTAGAAAATGCAGAGAAAAGGGGCTCCTGGTGGCTCAGTAGGGTAAATGTCCAACTTGTGATTTTGGCTCAGCTCATGATCTCATGGGTCATGGTCGTGATCTCATGGGTGGTGAGATGGAGCTCCCATCGGGTTCCACAGTCAATGGGGAGTCTGCTTGAGATTCTCTCTTTCCCTCTCCTGCTCCTACCCCCTGCTTGCACTCTGTCTCTAAAATAAATAAATCTTAAAAAAAAAAAAAAAAGAAAGAAAGAAAATGCAGAGAAAAGAAGACATATTTCTATAGCTCTGCTAACCAGAGACACTCATTGGTAATCCTATTATATCCTGGTATATAATTTTATGGTTTACATGGTTCTAGTCTATATCGTATACCACTGTGCCTTTTCCACTTAATATTACTTCATTAGCCTGGTTTCCATAAGTTTGCAGTCGTTATAAACCCTTTTGTGTTTATAATATTTTATTTAATTTACTCTACCATGTGCCTATCATTGAGGTCGTTTAGTTGTTTCCAAATTACAATGATGCTGCCAAAATATCTTGCTCAATAATACTTTTCATAGTTAAAATTATTTTCTTAAGGTTAAATTTTAAAATACAGTTAATATTTGGGAACTTTAAAAGAATGATGTTTTCCTTTTATAGAGGATGTGTTTCTGCTGGAAACTGATAACCCAAGGACAACACTAGTATATGGCATTTTTACAACATCAAGGTAATTATTAAAAAATTACAACTTATGGGTTAAACAGTAAACTTTATTGAGTAATAGTAATTATTACAAAACATTCTTTTCAACTTTTAATTTTACATAGCATTCAGGATGTAATCGTCCTGTTTTATACTTTTGCCTGATTACTGAAATATATTTAAGCTGAACTAACGCTTTCAAAATAGTTTTGAACAGAATGGTTATGATGACTATATGCTATTTTTCTCAAAGAAAGGAAACTATTAATTATAATGCAGGAATAAAGTATACAAGATATTTTGTTTTAAGGAAGTAACTCAAAGACTCATGTTTCACCTAAAACTTTAGGTATATCTATTAAAATATTTTTTTTAAGATTTTTTTTTTTTACTTTTTTGAGAGAGAGGTAGAGAGAGAGAGCCAGAGAGAGCACAAGCAGCGGGAGGGGCAGAGGCAGAGGGAGAAGCAGGCTTCCCGCCGAGCAGGGAGCCCGATGCAGGGCTCGATCCCAGCACCCTGGGATCATGACCTGAGCCGAAGGCAGATGCTTAACCGACTGAGCCACCCAGGCACCCCTCTATTAAAATAAGTTTTACTTCTGGAGCGATCTAAAATGATGACTATTCAGAAACTAATAAAATACTGCACCAGTTTTCATGTTCCATATGACAGTATTTCATATATTTGAAAATAGGTTTAATGTTTTCTAACTTTTCCGGGATGTCCAATCCCAGTTGTCATCTATTTCAAGACAATTGCCATATTCTCACCCTTTCCTAGACATATTTCTGTTTACTCATTTTACACTGGGAATGTTAGAATGCAACACAATACTCCAGCTGTGGCATGGCCAATACAGAATGTAATGGGTCCATTTTATTAGACAATCAATTATAAAGCAAAAACTTGAATAAAGCAAAAACTTGCTCTTCTAGTGAGGCAAACACAGCATAATTGTAAACTGTAATGGGCCATTCAAAGTAAAAGAAAATCACAGGGATTTGATTATAAATCATATTTACACTTGCCTTATAAAATATGTAAAAAGATGTCTTTCAGGATTAACAGTTTAACTTCTGTTCTAACAGAGAAAGTAGTCTTGATTTAACTCACAAGGAATTGGACAAAGTGAAAAGAACCAAATTCTTAAGAAGAAAATGTTTGTTTCAAAAAAATATTTCTACAGTGTTTGTTTTTCCCAATAGCTTTTTGAAAAATTCAAAATTGTCATTTCTGACCAATGATGCTAATGATTAATAATGTATCTTGTTTTTTTTTCAGTGGGCATCTAAGTTTTCCATTAGGCATCTAATTTAAGAGATATATGTAAATCAGAAATGTTTGTTTCAGTCAGTCTGCCTTAGTGACAACAGAAATAGTCTTCAGTAAGGATCCAAACAAATTCTATGAGATTTTATTGACAAAGTTAATGTAATGATCTCTTTTGGACCCTATTGGTTTTTTCTGTTACTAACAGGGAAAATATATAAACTATGACAACAGACTTTTCTAGCTACTACTTAGGATACATGTAAGAACATCCTCACTTTAAAATCTTAAGACAAAGAGATACTGTTTTCCCTTAATTGAGATTTATTTCTTGGAGTTAAGTTATGATAGATTGTATTGACAGTGACTTAGAATTCAAATTCATATTTTTGAATAAATCATCAGTTTATTTTTTGTTGTTAAGATAAAGTAGTTAGAAACTTCTTTGACATGTCCCATATTTTGGAAACATTAATAACTCTTTTATAACTTATTATTGTCTACTACCTCCATGGATGAATTAAATATTTTAATGCTTTATGTATCAATGGCTTATTTTAAAATAATAGAAATTTTTTAGCTTTAATGTGTACTGTAGCATTCAACTTTTCCATGATGAGTTATATCAATTTTATATCACAAACTTTACCATCTATTTTTTAAAATTGTATTTAAAAGTTAAAAAAAAGTAAGAAAATGGATCTTTTTCTGTTTTTTGTTTTTTCTTTTTTTTAGCTCAGTTTTTAAAGGATCAGCAGTGTGTGTGTATCATTTATCTGATATACAGACTGTGTTTAATGGGCCCTTCGCGCACAAAGAAGGGCCCAATCATCAGCTGATTTCCTATCAGGGTAGAATTCCGTATCCTCGCCCTGGAACTGTAAGTATCTAGGAAAGTTTCTTTGTCATTTTGCTTTTTAAAAAATATAATTTAACAAGATATGAATATCATGTTAATGTTTTTTAAATACAACCATGGACCTACTGATATACTCATAATTTTTCAGGTCATTTGGGATTTTACAAATATATTATAGCACCCTCTACAATTTTTTCTAAGTATTATTATTAATAAAATCTCTTTTAGACTTCAAGACAACTGGGTATGTGAAACAGGGCAGAGATATTTCCAAATTTTATTGACATAAAACCATAGCTTGGGAAGTGTTAACATTTTGGTGGCAGCCTAAAAGAATTTGAATGCTAGTTGCTTTTTAACAACCCTTCCTGATACTAATGAATCTCACTTATTTTTTTTTCCTCAAAGATTTTATTTATTTATTTGACAGAGAGAGACACAGAGAGGGAACACAAGCAGGGGGAGCGGGAGAGGGAGAAGAAGGCTTCCTGCGGAGCAGGGAGCCCGATGTGGGGCTCGATCCCGGGACCCTGGAATCATGACCTGAGCCAAAGGCAGACGCTTAATGACTGAGCCACCCAGGCACCCTGAATCTCACCTATTTTAATAAAGGAATAGCCATACAAGAATTAATTTAGAGATAAAACATGTAGATCTTTGAATTTTATGGGATATATTTAGGGATATATGAAAAATTATATGCTATATATTTCTCAAAGAAAGAAAACAGTATGTGTAAACAAACACAATGAAAGTGATGTTATAATTCAACAAAATATTTATAAGCTATAAAGTTTTGAGGTATACAGGTATATTAGCAGTATTAAGAAGTACACTGAAAACTAACGTTTCCAGCTGAAGTTATAGACAGTGCACTGACAGACTGGAATTGAACTTTTTTTAGGACAACAATGATCATTGTCCTACTATTTGTTTTTCATTTGGCCCCTTATAAGGCTTTATTGAATTCTAGAATATTGATTAGTTTTTGTCTTTATAAAATGTCATAGAGTACACTGAAAAGAGACAATCAAGAGGAATATAATTTTCGGTTGACTATCAAGAGGAATATAATTTTCTTATATTTTTGCATTTCATAGAATATGATTATATTTATTTTATATGTGAGTAAAGAATGGTTTCATGGAAAATAATCAAAAGATAGCTGTTAAAGTATTATTTTCTTGAAATATTTCTTTTTCCTTTTTACTTGAATATGAAATTCCCTCCACCAGTATGCTTTCAGGTATTCATCCCACATAACTTTTACTGATTGTTGATTCACTTTATTTTTTGTCTTATTATTAGAGTTTATTTGCAGTGTATTATTCAGTCCTTTATTTTCTCATCATTCTAAATTATACTGCTGTCAAATTTCTTTGAAAAATAAGAAAAATAGTTTGCTAAGCCTTTAAACCTATTTATTCAAAAGTAAAAGAGCTCAAATTTTGTTCCCTGGCTAAGAAGCTCAAAGATTAATCATTGATACATCTTTTACAGGAACAATTAACCTTTAATTAACTGGAAAGATTATCATCATTACTCTTTAGCTATGAAACAATTAAATTTTAAAGAGCCACACTTAATCATGGCTGGGGACAAAGTCCTATCATACAATTCACAGTATCCTTTTACATGATCTCTTTTCGATGCTCATAGCTCAACAGAAAGTGAAAATACTTAATTATTTTGTGTAACACAAGGAAGATATCAATAGATATATTGATCTTCGGGTACCTCAACTTGGGGTGTATTGGATAAGAAGCACAGATTATTACATAAGAGGAGGCGAAGTGAAGGGGAAGGTGAACAACTTTCAGATTCCATGATAACTCAACGGCTTTCCTTATTTCATTCAGTGTATTTCATGCGTTCCCAGGTGACTCACTGATAACCTGTTCAAAGATAAATCTTCTTTTTGAGAATTGCTTGCTATTTGAAGTTGACCAAGTCATTGCTTTATCTTAATACAGAAAATTAACAGGTGATTGTGACTATATATGCTTTCATTAATTATTCTTTTTAACAACATACATATGGGATTCATACAAGAACAGTTGGTTTGCAAACTCAACAAAATTCTAATTTCCTCCAAGTATTACCTTAAGAGAAATTTCCCAGGTAAACAAACAAAACAGGTAAAAAAGAGCCATGCTCACTGAATCAGGTTTGAGGCCTCAGTGAGTGTATGTAGGAGCTAGTTTATACACAGTTTACAAGAGTAGATTGTATGCACTTTATCTCAAGTAAGGATTCACAGTACTAACTTGAGATCAGCATGGTGAGAGTAGTTACAGTCTGGAAACTGACAAGTATTACAAGTCAGGGATTTTTTTTCCTGAAGAAAAGCCACCCGTTCCCACCCCTTGTAAAGACTTCTCACCGGAATGACAGTTCAAAAAGACTCTCAGGAATCATACTGAGAAAACCACTCATGTCAAATAGCAATTATTCTAAATAAAATGTGGGAATAGATAACCCCTTTTAGTACAACAAAATAAACCAATGCTAAATTAGAAAATTCTGCTAACAGTCCCACTTTTCGCTATTTCCCCAGCTCCTAAGAATAAGCATGTTTTTTTTCTGTTGTAAAACAGCGTGGTATAAGCCAGGGCTTAGTAACACACATCTGGAGCTGACGCCGTGAAAAAAAGGGAGTAGTCAGTCCTTGAGACATATTTCTATAATGTGGTTTCTTACATCTGGTGCTGAGACCAGAGCAGCTCCCTTAAATAAAAAAATTGTCAGATGAGTGATCCTTAGGGAGTGAAACAGGCAGGGTGGAGGAAGACCTCTGGAACTCCTTCTGGAAAGCATACCTCCCAGAAGATCTGGTCCCTCCACCCTTCTCTGAGCAACACACCAGGAAGTTTCAGCTGTCTGACTCAGAGTGGCCAGTGTCTGTCTTTTTCCTAGGCTTCCAGGGTTTAATATCCCACTGCTGTAGCAGGAAGACCTACAGCAAGTGACCCAGAACAGTCCCTCTTCTCTGGGGCTAAAAATGTTGCTTCTGAAGTCCTCCCATGAAGTATCAACTGTGATTGCTCTACTTTATTTCCCTACACAGTAGTCCAGTTGCCGGGTCAACCTCATAAATACATGACTGGATTCTTAAAGAAATGACAGGGGGGCAGGAATTGTATACCCTTATTCTAATGTTCCCTGTAGGTGATTCTCTTAAAGCAGGGTTGATGGCTATGTTAGCAAACTGCCCCAGTCAGTGGGAAGAAGCCTGCCCGTTGTGTCATAATGTTTTTCCATAAGTAATTCAAGTTTGTGGAAGAAACAAGACACCTTTGGTATGTTGCAAAGGGCAGCCAAAGACTGCAGATTCTCTCTGTGGCTGAGCTAACACATTACATTATTCTGTTGCAACATGTATAAAGCTTCCATAGAAAATTGTTTTTGCTTATACTCTTCTGTTTAAAGCAGAACCTAATAAAAGTGTTCTGTTTTAATACCTATTTATAAGTGGACCAGAACCATCTGCTTTCATCATCGTGCCTGATACCTGGTGCAGCAAAAGAACACAAAAAACTCATGACCCACATAGTGGTGGCCAGAAAAAGAGAACTTTATTTCTGGTACTTTTGTTGATTCCATGCATCTTTTGGTGGTTCTTACTTCTAGTCTTCATAGATGTTTAAAACTTTGTTAGGGAACTTTACAATAAAATTAAGTACATAAGGTGTGTAGACATGAAAAATTCATTATATGTTTTTTCATATCATTATTCAAGACACATGAATAAAATAGACAATAAATACTATTGAAGTCTAGGTGAGAGAGAGACTGTCGTGGGACAGCCTTATGTAGAGAAGGCATATAAAAAATAGGAGATTGAGCTGGCCCCGAAGGCAGTCAGATCTGGATAACTTGGGTGGGGAAAGAATGATAGTCCAGACAAAAGTTACAGCTTACATTATAATTAATTTATAAGATATAAATTAATAAGTGAGTTCTAGAAGCTCTGTCTGAGCTAGTAGGACTGGAACAGAACACTCCTGTCAGCAATGGGGGATAAATGGAGGTGAAATGAGGACCAACTGGTGCATAAGTACAAGTCTTCAGCTATGTAAATCTTTAGGCTTTAAATAAAGGGCCTAGATTACCAAGGGTTTAAGCATGAGATCAGTTTCTCTCAGAATACAAGTTTCAAAGTCCAGTGCCAGAAACTACCCCAGATTCTGGAATGCCATTTATTTATGTCCATGTATTTATCCATATACCACTCATCTTTCAAGTGTTTAGGTCAAGCTCCCCTTGACCATGCCAGTCACTCCTTCTCTGACTAGTTTTGCTTTTATTTTCTGTATTCTTTAACCTCAGCTCCTACCTCTTTCTTCCACTTTGTGCTCTGTGATCCAGCAATGCCCCAGGAATTAAAGTTTCCTAAATATTCCAATTTTTTTTTTTCTATCTCTAAACCTTTTCACCAACCCTGAGAGCCTTAAGTTCTCTACTATTCTGAATTCATTTAAAAAATATTGGCTCTTACACACATATGGCAATTGATCATGAACAAAGATTTATTATTTATTTTATATTTGTCTTAAATTATTATTATATGCCTTGTTATTTTGCTTTGAAGATGCCCATCTTCCATACCAGAATACTTATGTCTAGAAGATAATGGTGGCTTTTTCTTATGTCTCCCACTGGGCACATCAAAATGCTTTTTGAATAAAAAGTGTCCAAAGAATAAATACATGAATTAAGATATGAATATGTTAATATTGAAAACTAGGATCATGGATGTGAGATTTAGGAGCATCAGAGGACGGCAGATGTCAAGAATACCTAAAAATAGGAAAGAAATTAAGTTGAGGGCAACAATTGCTGATATTTCCTTAACATGGCATTGTTACTGTTCCTAGCATTTCACCCAACACTTTAGTAATCAAAACACTTAAAATGTCTTTACTCAAAAAAGGAGTCCTTATCACTGCTCCATAAACAGAAAGCTAGAACTGGAAAAAAAACAACAGCTTAAAGGAGAAGTTTAACCCAAACTACTTAATGACTATTTGTAGAGCTCAATCAGCCTTCCGAAGAATGAGACACCAGCCTCATTCATGGACAGAGGCTTTATTTTATGGCAGCATGTAGATGTTATATTATCTTGAGATTTCAGTACACATGCTTTCACATATCACAAGGTGGGGGATAAGTTATTCGCATCTTATTTATACTTGGTAGCGTTACACTGAGCAAACTCGCAAGTCCAGATAGAGAATCTACAAAAGGTAATCCATTTTTCTTCTTGTCACAATCATTGTCACTCATCCTGTGTCTTATCTGCAAAGTTTATGCCACAAATCAATGGAAAAAATTAATTATTGTCAAAAAGGCTTGTTTTGTAATTTTGAAAATACTCCTACCGTGAAACACTGGTTTCTAAGCACGAAGTTCATAAAACCAAAGTCCCAAATGGGGGACATTTGAATGAATATAAAATAACTGATTTGATTTGATTTGTTTGGTTACCTATTTAATAAGAACACTTTTGGGCACATTAGGCATAATTTTTAACTGAATTTAAATTAAGTAAAACCCAGAAACTAGACACTTAACAATTTAATAACCTTATCGCACATGAAAATAATTGCTAACTGGAAATTATATAAATTGCCTAGTAATATATGCTAACTTTGGATCTTCCTGGACCTTACAAATGAGAATGTTTGCAAATATTTAAGGAGACATCTCAGCTTAGCAAACCATAATTAGTGGTGTTTTATGAGGAACTGGATTGCCCGTGCATTTGTTCTTTCCATTTTTTCATTCAGTGAGCAATACATTTCCCTTTTTCCACTTTGTGTGAGGAATGAGGGTAGAGAACACCCATAATTCTACACTTTGCAGAAGCATGGAACACTTCCATCATTTTAGAATACCCTCAAATGAAATTCTTTGTCCCCATTTGGTCTTTTTTGTGGGCAATTTATAAACATGTATATTTAAATATAATGCTTTTTTCCTAAAAGAAAAACATATGAGCCCTAGATGAAAGTCACTTGAGGGGATAATGAATCAGCGGCTTACTCTTATTACTTGTCTCATTATCTCTCCTTAGTGAAGTCATTTAATTGCTCCCTGTGCCTTTCTATAAAAAAGAACTGGGCGCCTGGGTGGCTCAGTTGGTTAGGCGACTGCCTTCGGCTCAGGTCATGATCCTGGAGTCCTGGGATCGAGTCCCGCATCGGGCTCCCTGCTCGGCGGGGAGCCTGCTTCTCCCTCTGACCCTCCCCCCTCTCATGTGCTCTCTGTCTCTCTCATTCTCTCTGTCTCAAATAAATAAATAAAATCTTTAAAAATAAATAAATAAATAAATAAAAAAGAACTATATTTACTGGTCCTGTAAAAAGTTCTAGTAATGTTAACTGGTCAAAATGAGTCTAAAAATTGCATTCAGTATAATATTGTCTAAGTGAGTGGGGCAACATTAGTAATTCGCTGAGAGTTATTTGCAAATGTGGGTCGGCCCAACAATCCTGGTCCAGAGGCACTAACATTGTGGGATAGCTGTTGCAAGGGTTTAACCTAGAGGTCGCCGTGTTTTGGGGGTCCCTAAAGTTTTTCTTTTTTTATATTGAGTTAGCATTACAATTTTGGCAGATTTCACATAAAATTCCACATTTCTATTTTCTGTTGAAATCTGGCCACACCAGGCATACATTCCTGCACAGGAGCAATCAGTTAGAAATGAGGGTTCATTGCCACTTTTGAATAAGGTACAACTTTCCAATCTGTTACTGTCCCCATTACATCCTACAGTTTGCCCAGATGCTGTACCCATTGCTATTGATCAGAAAGTTTGCTTTGTTGCCTTCCTTTACCTTCTACCTCTCTTAAGAGAATAAATGAAAGCTATAACAGAAGTGCTTTTCTTTCAAGAAAATATGACAAAGTATTTTTGTTTTTGAAAGTAGAAATATTGTCAAGTATTTAATAGGATTACACAAATGTGTGTATGTGTTAAAGTTTATACCTAACAGTTTTGCTTGTCTAACTTAACACTTGGATCCTATTAATGGATAAGTTTGAGTTCCAAGCTTTAGCAGCTCCCAGCCTACCCCTGAGCTTGGCCTCAGATGTCCTATAAATGGAATCTTCTCCCCAGAAGCCCTTGTCATGCCTTCTTTTCAGAACTGCTGAAGCTGTCCAGCAGTCCTTTTTCAGATCTTATTATTGCTTACTGGCCAAAACAGATTATCATTATCAAATTTTCCCTAATAACACTGTTGCTGGCACAGAATAAGAATAGAAAAGTGATGGGTGGGAAGGGTAAAAGTTATATACAAAGTGGCATCAACTGCTCTCTGAAAACAAATGGGGTAGGACCAGTGGACTTAGCCTTGCTCAAATGGTTCTTGCGGCAGCTCCCAGCCAGCCATGTGCTCACAAAGGTCAACAACCCATACACTTACAACCATTCTGGTTTTCACTGTTAATACAGTATTCAATAAATTACATGAGTTCTTTAACACTTTATTATAAAATAGGCTTTGTGTTACATGATTTTTGTCTAACTGCAGGCTAATACAAGTGTTCTGAGCATGTTTAAGGTAGGCTCGGCTAAGCTATGATGTTCGGTAGGTTAAGTGTATCAAATGCATTTTTAACTCTCAATATTTCCAATTTATGATGAGTTTATCAGGATTATTACCCATCATAAGTCGAGGAGGATCTGTACTTACAACAACTTAAGCCTCTAAGTATTTTGAAAAGTAGAGGCTTTTGGTTATCACTCAAATGAAGTAACTATTTACTAACTTGGTTCTTTTTAAAATATTTTATTAGTGCCCAGGAGGAGCATTTACACCCAATATGCGGACCACTAAGGAATTCCCAGATGATGTTGTCACTTTTATCCGGAACCATCCTCTCATGTACAATTCTGTCTACCCAGTCCACAGAAGGCCTTTGATTGTTCGTATAGGCACTGACTACAAGTACACAAAGATAGCTGTGGATCGAGTAAATGCTGCTGATGGTAGATACCATGTCCTGTTTCTCGGCACAGGTAAGTATTTGAGCTCAAACTATACTTTAATGTGTAGCAGAAGAGCATAATAGGTAAGGACCATAATATTGGAACCAGAGAGACTCCAATGTTGATGTCTGTTGGACCCTCACTGAGGTATTTAATGTCTCTATGCCTGTTACCACATCTGTAAAATGGAGTTAATGAAATAAATTACTTCATAGGGTTATTGTGAGGAACAAATGGGTTAATATATGTAAAGCACCTAGAACAGTCCCTGGCACATATTATAGTGAAATATAATAATTATGAGCCGAATGAAAGGATGGGAAGAAATTTTAAGCATGGGTAGTTCCTCTCAACTGAAGCAAATACGTGGAGCCATTTTCCAGTGATAATGATAATGATAGATAGTTCTAGATAACATTTAAAAGTGAATTTAATAACAAATACAGATAGCTTTTTTGAAAATATTAATGGTAGTATTTTAATACATTTATAACTGTAGTTTGCCAATTTACTTTAATACACAAGTTGAGTGAAAAATACTCTTGTTTATAGATCTACATGAATGTGTAATGGCTGGCTTTATAGCAGTGATTCTCAAAGTGTGTTCCCCAGACTAACAAAATCAATATCACCCAAGAAGTTGTTAGAAATACAAAGTTTAGGGCTCCAGTCCAGGAACTCTAGGGATTCAAGACCCAGCGATCTGTGTTTTAACAAGCCCTTCAGGTAACTCAATATACACTAAAGTTTGAGAATCATTACTCAAGAGAAAAAACTCTAGTTTGCCAGTCACGCAGTAATTAACATCTTTCAAACATTCCTGACCACCTTGCAGGGAGTGATGAAATCTCTTTACTTACAATATCATAAGTACTTTATGAAATTAGGTAATTCCTCTACTAGCTTACGAAAAAGACATGTCTGTAAACCTCATTATAAGATATACAATGGTGCAATAAGTATTCTGAGCTAAGAAATGAATTTGCACTCAAACTCAATCAGTTTAAGATGTGGATATATTTTCTTGGCTAAATAGTAATTTCAAAGTGTACCTTTCTTATGAAATTCTTATTTTGTTCTTACTTAAAACCCCAGATCTGAATCTTTCACTCTCATATAATTTCAGCTTGTATTGGTCTGAGGTTGAGAATCTGCTGACATGTACGACTTGACATCCTCTTTCACACTTGGACATATCGGTGGTTTCACTGATGCTCTCTTTGTTTGCCCCACACCTGAGAAATAATCCTTCCTTCCCAGACTAACCATTCTCTAGTCTGTTCTCAATTTTATTCTTTCCTGCCATTTCCAGGACCTTTCTTTATCAGCTATCTTCTTACTCACTTTATTTGTTCATTTCATTCTCTACTATATCCTTGGCTTAGAAACCTTACACCAGAATACAAAACTAAACTACACCTTAACCCATTGCTCACCCTCTGCTAGCCTGCTGATTTGGCCAAGGTGTTCAAAGTCCTCATGATAAGAAAATCCAATGACCTTTAACCATGAGGTACTTCCATCTCCTCTTTGCATCATTTGGTATTGTAGAGTCACTCTTTGCCTGTCACTTCAGCCACAAGTAACTTAAGTTTCTTCTCAGTTTCCCTCATGAGCCTAGCTTCCTCCTGCTTGTGAGCATAGGTATCCCCCAAGATTCTGTCCACAGTTCTCTTCTTTTTACATATTCTTTGGCCATCTCATTTATTCATTTGGTTTTAATTATTATGTGCAAACAAATCCCAAATCCCTAGTCCTTGTCATTTCCTGAACTCAGTATTTGCATTTACATCTTACTTGTTTTTTTGTATTTTATTTTATTATTTAAAAAAATTTTTTAAGTTTTTATTTTAATTCCAGTTAGTTAACAGTGTTAATATTAGTTTCAGGTATATAATATAGTGACTCAACACTTGCATACATCACCCTGTGCTCATCACAAGTATTTGTCTGACTTACTTCACTTAGCATTATATTCTAGCTCTATCCACATCGTTGCAAATGGCAAGATTGCATCCTTTTCTATAGCTGAGTAATATTCCATTGTATATATACCATCTCTTCTTTATCCATTCATCAATCGATGGACACTTGGGCTGCTTCCATATCTTGGCTATTTTAAATAATGTTGCTATAAACATAGAGGGGGATATATATCCCTTTGAACTAGTGTTTTTGTATTCTTTAGTAAATATCCTGTCGTGTAATTGCTGGATCATAAGGTGGTTCTATTTTTAACTTTTTGAGGAAACTCCACACTGTTTTCTACAGTGGCTACATCAGTATGCTTTCTCACCCAACAGTGCCCTGAGTGTTCCTTTTCCTCCACATCCCAGCCAACATCTCTGTTGTTGATTTACATCTTACTTTTAGATAACACAAATTGTGTAACTCCTTAACATTTCAGACATCATGCTTCAAACTCAATTTATCCACTCCGAAGACTCTGGAAGCAGTGCTTAATCCAGTCTCCCATATTTGTATTCTTACTGCACGTTCCTTTCAACGTTCCATTTCTCCATGATATGTAATTTCTCTCTAGGCATATCACTGTGCCTGGTAAGCTCAATAAATATTTGTGAAGATGAATTGAATATCATGACCATATCCACTGCTACTCATATAATGAAAGGAATTCATAACTATTTGCAAAACCTCATCTTCATTTTGCGAATAAACTGTGTTCTCCAAAGATGTAACCTCCATATGGATGACTTCGAAGAGTTGCTCTTAGCTTTAGTTCAGATTATCTGGCATGGAGTTTGCATTTTTAAAAAAATTCCTGAAGTGAAGTGGTAATTTTAGAGTCATACTTCCCCCTAATATCTCATATTACTCATAAAAAGTGACTGTTTTTTTTTTTTTTTCCTCCTTTTGGAACTTGTGTTAAATGTGAACTCTGATGTCACAGTTGGGTTGTTGTCTTATGATTTGCATAAAATATGTAGATTTAGTGGATGGAATTTTCAAATCTTTATGAACTTTGTAGAAGGCAGTAAGAAACACTTTTGTACAAATTCTTTGGCTTTTCTTACCATATAAGTATCTGGCACCTTTACAAAGACTTTTTATGTTGGTATTTAAATATTTGAAAACGGTATTTAGGCATATGTTTTTAACTGTACTGGGAAGCTTCCCTAATGATTGCTTACAAAGCCACATGAGTCTCTGAAAGGCTCTACTGTAATGGGAAACTACATGCTATAATAATACCTCTGCCAACAGCATCTTTCTGAAGAGATGATAACTTACTAAACCATTGAATCTTAGCCTCATGGTCATATCAGACTGCACTAGAATTTAGAAGCAGGGATTTCAATTTACCTGAAACTCTAATGCCAGTATATTGGTATAAAAGATGTATTGCCCAAGTAGTTCTTGGCTTACTGGTGAAATTTCTTCAAAAGAGAGTTCTCGGTGCTTGTTCGCTACTAAAAGTGAATAGGATAGCCTTTTCTGAAATGGAACTTGGGAAAATCACAGGTCACCACTCCCAAGGATTTCTAAATGTCTTAGGAAGGGTATAATATGTCATGGTGTTGCCAAATTCCTCACTGCCAGAGAGCTTTTCAGCTGTTATAAGTAAATAATAATGTTCCAATTATCGCCATGAGGCAAGCTTCTCTCATCGCTTCCTTCTCTCTTTACCATTATTGGAAATTTCAGAGGAATTCAATGAAGACATTAGTTGTCAAAAAAGATGTCATAAAAAAAAAACAACTTACATGACAGTTAATTGGAATACAAATAGGATATTATGTAACTATATTCACTTTGAATATTATGAATAATTTTGTCACACCCAGAATCTCCGCGGTAGTTATATAGGCCCAATGCCTGCTAACCATTACGATTAGTTCCTTACGGTGTACTACTATATCAGCTGAGTTTGAGAGGCTGGTAATCTGACCCTCCAGTCCCCTGGTACTACTTCATTATATTTTGTGTATTGCCAGATGCAAAGATAGATAGATGATAGATAGATAGATAGATAGATAGATAGATAGATAGATAGATAGATGATAGATAGATAATAAATAAGAGAAAGAAAGAGAGGGGAGGGGAGAAAGAAAGAAGGAAAGAAAGAAAGATAATTTGAGCTTTGTCTTCTCATCTTTTATTTCTTACAATTTGTGTTAATCAATGTCTAACCTAGGGTTCAGCAAACAACAACCTGGACCAAATCTAGCCCATTGCATGTATGGTACATAAGCTAAGAATGTTGTTTCACATTTTTACATGATTGAAGAAAAATAACAAGAAGAATATTTCGTGAGCACTGAAAATAACAAGATTTGTAGATTACTGTGTCCATAAATAAAGTTTTATTAGAATATGGCCACCTTCATTCTTTGACATTTTTCCTGTGCCTGCTTTTGAGCTGCAATGCCAGAGTTGAGTAGTTGCCACAGAGACGTTTAGCTCACAGATCCTAAAACATTTGTTATTTGGCCTTTTTGAGAAAAAGTTTGCTGACCTTGTTTTGTCTGATAGTTGGATAATTTTAGAAAAATGAAGACTTCTTAAAGAAGCTATTTTCTAATATGTAGATATAATACAGGAATTCATAATGTTGCCCAAAATAAATATTTCTCCTTTTATCTTGAGTAAAAGATTATGCTGCTGTTCTATTAAAACTTTAAGTAAACTTAGTTTCTACTTTATTACGTTCCCATTCATTCCTGCTACTACCCCTCTAAAAAACATCTCATATTGAAAAAAAAAAAATGTATTTTCAGGTCAGTGCTTTGTTTTATTCTGTAGCATTTGTTGATGTTTTGTAGTATCTTTGTTTTGTTCTGTTTTGTGTATGTTGCTTTGTTTTGTGCTTTTAGGTCTTAGTATTAGTGCTGTGGGTATTTGTGTGATCCTTACTCCCCTGCCCCCTTTTTTTTTGAATCTTTAGGAAAGGCTGTAAACCAGCAGGCTAGAGCTCACACAGGATTAACATTTCTGTTTTAACTTTGCCACCTACTGCTTACATCCAGGGCATTTGTTCAGAGCTGACTGTATTGCACAGTGAAGACGTT